GAGAAAAGTACCATCGCAGCCCTCGTCCTGAGAGCCCCTCGAGTGGAGCAGAAATGACGGGGAAGAGAAGCCCGGAAGTGCGAACGAACTCTTGACGCTCTTCAGAATTCAATGAACTTTTACGACGTCCTCAGATTTGTTCGATGGTATGAAAAATTCAGCCTTTTACGGATACTAAAGTTCTTGTTCTTTTTATTGTAGTTTCATTTTTACTTAGCGGGGATAGATAACTTAGAACAATCGCAGCATCATACACACGATTCACTTCTCTTTTCCGGATGGTACGAGAACAGAATACAGGACAAGCAAGATATAAAATGCAGTACCTTCAGACAGTCGTGCATTATCTCCTGAATGACAGGAACTACCAACAGCAAGTTCATCTATACAGTATTATATTCGCCTTAATGGCTTCTGCATTGGCCATGAGGAAATTTTCTCAGGGACATAACGCATAATCTTTTCAATCTGTCCTCTGATGAATTTCTCGAACTTCTGATCCGTTTATAATATGATCTTCAGTATTGGGCAAGGTGTCTAGCAAAACATCACAACTATCATCAACCATCAACACCTTGTCGAAGTTTCCCTCCTTAATCATGTCTGAGATGACTTCGTCACGATCTTCCACTGCTCGCCGTTTTCACGTTCAAAAACGAAAATAGCTGTAATGAATAAACGATTCGTCGAAAATATTGGCGATCATCGAAGTTTAGTTCAAATCACGTTCTGTTTTCTTGACGTCAGAAAACTGGACCAAGAAGCAATGTTGAATAATATGTGAAGAAAACGTTCATGTTATTTTTATCAAACGAAAATAGCGGTTATATCAAGGCAGCTACAGCACAGAAATAACGGAAACATTTTCAATCCAGAAAAATGTGTACGGCTCATAAATCATACCTAATATTAATCAGTAGGACTTCAGGGACGCAAAAAGCATAATTTTCTTTCCAAGAGTTTCTCATAAATCACGATAATTCAAGAAAATCCACATTTCCATCCACAAAAATCGAATATAGACAGGGAATTCGTATGCGATACGAGGAAAATCGGAACGCCACTTTGGTCACATCCTGACCATTCGTTGAATGCAATCCCACTTCGTGCACGAGTGTCCTCCGATCGAATGAACACAATACAAAAAAAATCGGTATACAACAGTACGGACGATGGAGATCTAATAAAATAAACAAGCCTCGAGACTTCTCAACCATTGCGTTAGTTGATGTGCTCCCAAGTTTCAATATAGTAATGGAAGCTCCAAAGAATTCGCGAGTTACAAAAATCAACGATGTTCGACGACTGTCTCTTCGGTTATATCAGATAAAAAGCTCTTCAATCCGGAATACTGGACCAAAAAAAGTGACGAATGGAACTACTTTGAAGTCCCTAAAAAATGCTGTGGTTTTATCGGATGCCCGACCGGGCTTGGGCATTGTTGGGATGCACTGGCGGCTGGAAGCATCGTACGTGTTCAACCGAACTGCTCTCCACTTCGCTACTCGAAGCTTTCAAATATTTGTTTAGCACAGCGAAGATTTGCCCATTGAGAACTTGGAATCTCCGTATCCGCTCCACCATTTTTTGCAAACTCTGCACAGAAAAATCACCAAATGGTCGCTTGAATTCGAAAGAGCAACAGGTGACGGGATATAATTGCCATCATTTCAAAAAGTAGAAAAATAAGCTGAAAATTCTTAACTAGCCTCTTCCACCTCATTTGGACCCTGGTGCACTCAACTTGGAATGGAGGGCAGGAAGTAATCGAACATGAAAACAAAAATGACGCTGATCGGCAATGATTCAGTAAGACTACAACATGGGGGATCAGAAAGCTGACGAAAAAACAATCGCGCTTTCCACTTCAGAAAAATGCAGTCTACTACGAACGCAAAAAAATCATTCAGATAAAAGTCATAAGATGCCAAAAAAAATTTTACTCACGATTCCCTTATGGACACCATCCTTATTATCAACTTTCTGGACTCTCAGAATGTGATAGCAGTAGTCGAGAGCCTCAAACTTCCTCGTCTGATCCAACAGAACAATCATCGTGCAGCCAGCCCAATGAAGACCTTCGCCAAACATTTGCCTTTGAAAGAATTGAAACGAACGAAATTTTGAACACATTCCTGTTCATGCTTCTAAATTGAAACAGGTCACCACAACATGTGGAGTTCGTAAGCATGCAAGACAGTTTCTCATTAATCACTCAAGATCAACCTTTCCGTATTTCGACGGTTAATTTTTCGAACGAGTACAGTACTGATGATTGAGACTACACAATGATTCCAGAGATTCATGTAAGAATCAGGGGTGGAGGTTCCACCGCCATCAGATTTCTGAGCTTCTGTTGATGTAGAAAGTTGAAGTTGTGAGAAATGCGTCAGAACTTACTCCACTGTGAATTCATTCTGTCCCACTGGAATGCAGTAAACGAACTGAAGCGCAGACCACAGACGATGAAATTCCAGACACTCGTCAACATGCATGACTCCGTTTTGCGGCGCGGGACCCTTCCAAATAGGGTCGTCCAAGAAACCGCGAATTCTCGTCAAAATCATATCAAATATCGAAAGTCCACAGCAGAGTCGTTCACGTGTCAACAAATCACCTTCTTTCGCGATGAACGATTGCTGAAAGAAAATGATGGAAGACCACGTAAGTTAATAATTTCCTTTGAACAACCGAAAAAGCTCCAGGAATCCTCCGTAAGTGAACACGACATAGAAAACGGTACTCGACTAACCTCTGAACTTCCCAATTTCTCAATGTTCGGTACGATCTGCAAAGCTGCATATTTGGCCTCCAATTTCTTTTGCTTAACTTCCTGCCGCTCACCCTCTGTTGAAAAGTAAAATACAGTAAATATATCGATCAATACAAGATGACGAATAGTTTCTAGGAATGATAGCGAGCGATGATCTACCTTTGATATGCGGCCGAGGAATAATGTTCTGGAAAGGAGCTGCATGAAGCAAGTCGCAAGTCTCTTCCTGAGACATCGCTTGCTCGGCCATCAAACAAAATAAAATCGTGTTGCCCATCTCGCGAAAATTATGGAAGAGTTCCGTTTTGGCGTCAGGATACTGAACGATGTCGGTCAGTTGTGCTCGGTAATAACCCAGAACCCCTGAAAATCATCATAACCGGACACACTTGAATTTGAATTGCTTCCAGCTGTGCATACATCAATGTTCAGATATGAAAGGTGGACTCTGTACAACGATCTTATCGACAACCATTTTCTTTCCATAAGAAATTTCTTTTTTGGTCCCGTAAAGTTCTCTCCCCATGTTATAGCGGTTCTCCACAGCGGAACTTCTTCGACAACGAATTTCTTCTTAGTCCCTTTGAACTTCGTTGTAGAGAGGGGTCCGACTGTATTTCGCATTCAAACTCATTAATGCTAAACAGTAACTTTTATCCGGTAAAAATACTCGTTCACCAATCTATATATAGTCGTGCGACAGTTAAAAGTGTTTTCGCCTAAAATTCTTGCAGACTTAGTCACATAAGACAGAACTGAGGTGTGCTTGAAAAATTCAACTTTTCATATCTCGGATGAAATACTGTACATCGAATTTACACTGAACTTTTTGGGAAAACTAGATTTCATACCGATGGATCCGTAGTCATATCTTGGAAGTTTGCACTGTTTCGGCATTGCATTCATAAGCGTTCGGGCAAACTGCAAAATGTTGCCTTGAATCAAGGTTTTCACGATCTTCAGCAACTCTTCCATTACGACAGCGATCCCTTGGTAGCCCAACAGGCGAACAATCGATTTGAAATGCGGCGGCCCCACAAATCCTGGATGAAAGTTGAGTAACATTTCAGCGTTAAAAGGTCTAAAACTCCGCTAGAATACTGTATACGAACCATTGAATTGACTCATAATCGCATGATAAGAAGTATTCAACGCTTTCGAGCCCCATACGTAAGCAGGCATCATTTGCGGTGGCTTGTCCCTCTGAACATTTTGTCCGAACTGTAATTCGCGACCTTTAACAAATCTAGGAAAATGAAGAGAGACGTCTCTCAATTGGAACAAATGACTCGGCAGCACAATTACGGTACCTGTTGGTTGCGGCGTTATAGCAATAAGTAGGAAGGAAATCGAAGTTCAGTTCCCAAAATACGTGCAATGTAATTCTTCCGTAAGGAGCCAAAACATTGTGATTTGCCTCTCGAAACATGTTGTCGAAGGGGTCGAGTGATCCAAGATGTTCCTGCATTAGCTGATGCGCCAATCGGTTCACATTGATCAAATGCTCCAATTCCTTCAATGTAAGAATGGGACATTACCTATTTTGCCATTCGATCAGACACTTAGACAAGAATACGATTAATTGTCCCAACAACCAAATTTAACACGGTAACAGAAAACTGTTCTCTAATATCCTCACTGTTTCGAACAGTGATTTTGCTAGTGATTTAGGCCACCCACAAAATTAGCTTATTGCACTTACAACAATGCTGGTAATGTCAGCGGCTTCAAAGCGCGCCAGAGCCAAGTCGAGGCTCTTGTACATATCAGCATTGATTCTTTGACCGATAAGGCGACTCAGATCGATTGATCGTCCCAAAAGCTGAACATGTCTTTGTCTCATCAGTGACTCATATCGCGCTGCTGGTGGCCAAGGCAGCGTTGTTCCGAGAGCCATACATTCTTGCCTGAACCTCCGATCCAACAAAATGCTGTCAATTAAAATGAAAAATGTATCACTCGACCGAAGGTTGAATTCGTATTCAAGGGCACTCAAAGAAAATTGGAAAATGAATTCATAAAGGCTTTCCGGCATGAACTTACTTTCCAGCAAGGCTCTTGTAATATCCGAAAATATGCTCGCTCAGCTTGTGCACGAACTGATCAAAACATAGATTGACTTCAGCCTCTATTTCGTCGTACAAAAATTGCTTTCTGAATTTCGTCAGAGAATAATGAGCAGCATCGTTGTACAAGTCTAGTGGATAAAGAACGCACCTAAAAAGAAAAGTATTTCAGACATTTTTGGATTCACGGAAGCAAGAAGACACTCACTCAGTCATAGACGGATCCCGAGTTCGAAGAATGTGGTCGGTCAAAATCCACGGCATACTCATATCAATAGGGAACTAGAGAACAAAAAGGTAATGCTTGAGTCTGAACAATGCCATGAATGGGAACGGTTAAGACGGAGCGTACACATGCAAGCATTTTTCACGATCACACACTGTAAACCAGGCATAGTTCCATCTTCCGGTTAAATATGCACGATGGGACACACGAGAATGCTAGATTAGGTGTTACGCTGAACTAATCATCATACATTCGAGTTGCGCTACCTGAGTTCGCTTGTCCAACCCTACGACGTCGTGGCACTCTTCATTGTGAAGATGAGTTACCAGACATTTCTGCTCACAAAATAATACAATTTATGCATCTCAAGAAGATCAAGGTACAGTACACTAATTATCAAAATAGCGCATAGACGCTGTATGAATCACTGGTGAAATTTTCCAACGAAAAAACTCACCTGAATTCGTCGTCCCATGGTCATTTCCAAATAAAATTCACGGTACCAAAGCTGGCTTAAATCACAGCACTGCTGCAAAGAGTCTGAAACGATCCAAGTAAATCAGCAGTACAATATATACGTCAGGAAAAAATTCCAAAATATTCACGAACCTGTAAAATTGAGCAAATAGCTCCAGAAAAAGGAACCCTTGTGGAATTGATCGATCGCAGCAAGCGCACGCTCATCGATATCTTTTCTCAGAGTTCGTTTCCCACCACTTTTATCGGCGATAAGGGACTCCAACATCGTTCTCACCATGTACAACTGGGTTGAGGAGGGACCTGCATTGAAAATATTTTCGGCATTCTTTAGGTACTGGACAATTCTCTGAACACGGTGCGACGGCCCCTTTCAATGAAGACTCCGAAGTTATTCATAAAATCGTACTAAAAGCGGTTCCAAAAATTATTGAAAAGGTAACACAAATTCTGCACGAAACCTCATTTCTCCTAGTTCTTCGTGAATATGAAAATCTAACTAAAAGCATAATTTTTCAAGATATTTCACCGTTCAATAGCAGCTAACATATTACACGGATAGATACTTCGAACGAATGAGATGGAGATTGAAACTTACCAACATTTCGCCTCGGTACTTTGAGTTCAAACCCATTCTCGGGATCTTTCTTCCCCTTCAAAGCAGGGTCATCGGCGGGTTCCGTTCCTCTCATCCAATCTGCACAAGTTTCTCGAACTGACATTATGATCACCCGAATCATATCCTTCTTATTTTTTATGGCTTTGCGCAGAGGATCACGAAGAGCAAGCTGAACGAAATCCTGCGTCTCGGCATAAAGATGCCGACGAATAGCATCTGAGAAAACGGACTCCATGCGGGCCATTAACACTTGCAGACCTTTGATCATGGCAATAACCTCGATTAGCCCAGATTTTTCTTCTGACGAGTAGTTATAGCGCGTCGCCTGGAAAAACGATAAAATCATCAGGAAACTGATCGAATAACAGCACATCGTCGACTCGCACTCGTTCGTATTCTTCAGCTTCAGCTGGACACTCCTTATTCTGATGAGGATCTGTCGGATGAAGTAATTTCCACGAGCATAATTCTGTAACCACTGAAGTCCATTGACTCAGAAGTTGCAATCCTCTCAGTGCAAGATCAACCAAGTCCTTGTTTTCCATATCAGTTCTTGGTGTTTCTTTGAAAGTAGTGGTCACCTATTGATGAATAGATTTAACAATCTCATACGACGACGTAACGCGGGAAAAAATGCGGAACAAACCTCGTTTGTGTAACGCGCTAATTCAGAGATGTATTTGATGTGATCTTCGCGAATCTGAGGAAGATGCACCAACAATTCGGATTGCGGCGAAGAAGTATTCGGGTTATTTGATAACGTCCATTTCGATGCGTCGAAGTGCGTACTCCTCTTGATATAATTGAAAGGTGCAATTTGCATGTCTCCAAAAAGCGGGACCACTTCCAAATTCTAAAAGAGAAATGCAAAGGTTACATAGTTTTTCTAACGCGAATAAGCTAAATTTCTTATCAGCACCTTGAAAATGCGATCAATCTTTTCCAGGCGAATTTTCTTCTTTTGGTCCAAACGGTTGATGTTACACTGTTCACCATCGATGAGATATAATCCGAATCCCATGACCTTCACGAGCATGTGTTTCTCACCGGGACTGAGGAACATTTTGTTCTCGAACATCTGAAGGCAAATGTTGACTACGTCCCCCAATAGCTCGTCACAACCAGGGATACTTTCGAGATTCCTTTTCAAGTCATCTCTGATCTTGTTCTGAGTTGCCAAGAACATGGAAAGGTTTTGACTTTCTTGTAATTTCTGGGAATCTGACATGACTTTCAGAAACTGGGCAGCGCTGCAAAAATAGAACGTTTTCAATGCATAAAATACGAAACTCGACAAGAATAATTTACCGTCGGTAAGTTGAATAGTCGTTTTTTACAGAGGACTTCATATTTTTCAATTCGTCTAATACGGCGAACATGTTGATGAATTTTCCCAGGGTCAACAAGTACGCTTCAGATACAAAATCTTTCCTTTTCTCTTGATGACATAACCGACGAACCTCTCCGCAGAACATTTCACTCGCCGTTTTCTGCAAGAAGGAAAAAACTCGACTGCGGTGTTTCGTCATCAGTATTTCGGTAACGGCGACTTACCTGGAAGTACATAAATGCTAACAACTTTTCGACTTCGGGGCCCAAAACCTCCACGGTTTTTTCGTATATTTCCACTCTATTTGGTTGTTCATTCGACTTCGGCTGAGGTATCGCGCGGGAACAGCAACGCCAAGTATACAACATAACCGCATGGGTATTTCCGGCAACTAGGAGATCATTCTGCAGACGATGATCTCGTTACTTCATATCTTAGTGAACACGATGTCTCTTACATACCAAATTCGCATGTACTGTAGCTTCTTCGATGTATTTCGCCATGCCGGTGACAAATGCATTTCGGTCTTCGAAGTTGGTGTCGAAATTGGCTTGGTAATCAATGTTGATAGTCTGAGCTTCGATGCATGGCTGTTGATCCGGGATCGAGAGTTCATCCAATACGTCCACATTGGACAACGCGTCCGACAGGGTAACTTTCTCAGACATCCCGGGAAATCGGAATTGCTCAACTACATGCGCGAAAACCAGAGGAAAATTAGTCTAGTTTGCTTCACACGAGCATTTCCAGGTCATAATTCAGCGCTAAAACCGTTTATGCATGATAAATGTGCACTCATACCTCGACACTTCAACAAGAAACAAACCATCAACTTCCAACGTAACGCTTCAATTCGCTTTTCCAAGAGCCTCAATCAGCTCCTCAGAGATAACACGAAAGTTTCGGGTGAAATCCAACTAGAGTATCACATCTTAGTCGAGTATTCCTGCTATGCTATAGACATTAACGGAACAAGATTCGTCAATTCTTCATGCAAAGCGTTCCAGCGAGACTTAGCAACCCTTCCTCGACCAGGGAGCACAAGCGCGGCGCCATTTGTTAAACGCGGCATCTAAGCTTAAGCTAAGAAGGGTTTGCAACTGCGAAGAGCTATTGAGCTAAGTTTAGCAGACGCGGTAATTCAGGTTCGGTCCAGTTGGTCTAATACTGTATTGTACTGTAATAGATTAGGATCAATTAGTATTAGGATCCCATCACAGCAGTCATGGTTGCATCGACCCATTCGCATAGTTTAGTTTTGAGAGTCGTGAAAATATGCTGTACACTTAATTTGCGGGGAAAATGACAATCACAATGGTAAAACCAAATATAAAACTGTTGATACAGTATTTACTCCAGTACACCACACGCAATTGAGTATGGCGTGCATCCCCATTATTCCATCAGAAATTAGTTCAAAACCCTATCCGCATGTACGGCGCGCACCCCGGTTTTTCAGCAGGTAAAAATTTGTCTGAAGTGTTATTAGGAGAAAAGCCAACTTTTACCTCTTCATCAGATACTTCCAACTGCCATTGCCTTCCAAGCAGAAATTTCAGATGAAGATGAACAGACTTTATTGCTACTTTTGATGCATTTATTATGCTGCAACTCTGGCACAAAAAAAAAAATTCTGTGGACCAACGTCGGTCCATCAAACATGGGTTCAAGTACATTGGTACTGCTGTATATATTCGATACAGTATATGCTGATTTATGCGACGAATTTTGTATTCTAGTTTCTCAATCTTGAAATAAGTCGTCAAAGCTAAACATTTTCACGTAAGAGTTTCAAGAAATCCACGATAATTACATCGATCAATAATTTCATATCGCTCAGCTGATGCATCAGCTACGCGTATTTACGGTACTGTATAGGTAGTGTATTATATGCCGATATGCGGATAATCGTGGTATCTATTTTATCTGCGATATATGGATATAAGTTTTCTAGCAGCGTTGCATAGCTACAGATTTCACCTGAAATTCTACTTTTGGTCAATTTTTCTATGAATTGCTGGAGAACAGGACGCACAATACTATATGGAAATCAAATAAGTGTTTCAAGATGCGTAATCATAGAAAAAAGAGCTTCTTTCAATTGTTTCTTTCAAATTCTTTCGTTCAATTCGGGAAGGAAACAAATTTACTCAACCGCGCTTCTGCTGCACGCACATCCTCAGTTATATAAAACAATATATAGGATGAGTTATCCACACGACATCAATTCAAAAATATATCGCGATTAAATGTAATAAGAGTGAAACATCACTTGTGCTGGGGAATACATAATGAGCACGACTGCAGAAAGAATATATACAGCACACAGTACTAACTTTGAAATGGCGTTAGAATCGGGACACTCGTCTGCTGCAGTTGACGATGAGGACCAGATCTTCTCGGCTGCAAAAATTTCCCAAGCATGATCGACAACCTACTCTTTCTCCGAGCATCTTTCTTCCCCGCTTTGCCCCGTGACTTCACAACAGTCCCATCCCCGAATTCGACTTTGTCTGAATCACCAGAAATGTATCCAACCTGCTTGGCAGCCAGCAACAAACTCGTGGCCGGCTGCACGCCGTACGTCAACGTCGCTTGCTGTCCACCAACAATTATCGAACCGGAATCCAACGTCATTTCCGCGTAAATCGGATCCGTCACTGTGGGATTCGTGCTCGGCGTGTCACGCGCGGATCCGCAAATCGAGAGACTCTCTGAACGACTCAAGTGGTCGGAAAACTGCTCATCGTCATCGCCCAGCTTATCGGAAGCGAGACTCGGCGCCCTTTCATCGAGTCCCGCCGTCATCATTGTCGTCATCGACGCTGATGTGGAGTCCAGGTCGTAGCCGCCATCAGCAGTAGCCGTCGGAGCAGGAATTAACCCGTTATCATCGCCATCAGCAGCAGCGAAAGGCTTTATGAAGCCGTAGTTACTGTCGCTGTTGAGGCCGAATTTATGAATCACTGATGATGATGGCGCTGCGGCATTTCCGCGGTGATGCGTGGATGAGTAGAATTCGTCGTCCAATAAATCATTCGGTGGTGGAGGTAGTGTTGGGGATGAAGGCTCGCTTGTCTGATGATAATGATGCCTGATAATGCTGCCTGCATTCTTCGCGTCATCCAGCGGTATTTGTTTTTCCCTGAAGTTGAATTTCATACAGTTCCGAACGAGAGAAATTCAATTTCTCAAAATGACAGTCTGAAAAAATTCTTCGGAATGCGTACGATTGCTGTAGAGCTTTCTTGCTTCCATCGCAGGGTGCTGCATATAGCTTACACATATAAAAGCAAGGTTTGATATAGTGAGACCCCGAGATGCGGACATAATTGGTGCATCAAGAGTGTCTCCAAGTCAAAATGTCCCTAAGTTGAGTCTTGTTTTCCCATAGACTTACACTACATAATTTTTAATTGGTGTTTTGTGGAAGAAATACTCTTCAGAATTCCCTGAAAAAAATTGTTTGCCACTTGAATTTTAATTAGTGAATACATTTTCAACTCAATAAGAACATTTGGAGCATTGTAAAACAAATACCGCTGGATGACGCGAAGAATGCAGGCAGCATTATCAGGCATGGATCCGACAGATGTTCAGATCAAGAAGAATGATAATATCTTCTTCAGTTGGCATTGAGTGCCTTTCGTTAACGGATGATCCGTTGGGCCTGAAATTTTGGTGGTTGACTTTGGTGAAAATTGTTAACTTATATTAATTTTTTCAAAATTTTCGGTCGTTAAATTAACGATTTTCGTCTCGAACGATGCAGCGTTGTAACAACTTCCTGTCGAACAAAATTGTTGGAAGTTGATGGGTCTCCTGGAGCTGGTGGCCTCAAACATTGTTTCGCGAATTGTTCGGTTGCTGAGTGACTTTGTGCTGCTAGGGATCTTCAACTTTTTCAAAAGAAAGCTTCATCAAGTGAAAAGTGAGTTAACAAAAAAAAATTTTGTTTTTCAGAAATAACATTTTCTTTGAAAATTTTCACAGATGGCGTTCCTGAGACTTCTGATGTTGCTGGTTGTCGGTGTTGCGGCTGCTGGGGTGGACCCGAAGATGGGGCGTTCCTGTGTCGGGACGTCTGTGGCGAGGAGGTGAGGGGCGCCGGCGGTTACGGGCGTCGTGTGACGTTTGTCGGGGCAACGCTGTTCCTGGACTGTGTCTGGCAAGCAGACCTGAAGGTAAGCGGGAACAGTGTTGTTGTGTGGCAGATTTGACAGCATTCTTTTTGTTAGGAGGTGAAGCTGTTGTCGCCGACGGTCTGCGTTGGGCGTCGGGCCAACATGGATTGTGTCGTGACGCCTTGGAGGTGGTGCGAGGAAGTCGTGCCACCCAAGCCGGAGATCTCGACGGCGGCAGTTCCGCCGGTGGTTGGTGAGTTTGTTTTGTCAGCTTTTCCACACAAACATAGTCATCTCAAAACACAACTCACATAACATGTTCACAACAACATAACACATAACCAACACCTGACCAACACCAAAACAAAAATTTTCCTTCACCAATTTAATAAAATATTGTGTATATACAGATGAGCCTTGCCTAGTGGCACCTACGGCCAACCTGGCGCTCGTTCACGTGCCGGTGAGCAAGACGCCGTATGTGGTATGGGCGCTGCCCTCAACGCAGCAAAGCATCGTGGTGGCCCAAGAAGTGCCACACGTCATCAGGGCACCGTTGTCGACGCCGGAGGTGACGGTCAACATCAAGCATGGTGTTGCGCACGTTGAGGCGGACGTGGACCCGTGGACGGCAATGGTCCTGGTCTTCATGGGCCTTGGGGGAGCTGGAGCCACATCTCTGGCTGTCTTTTTGGTCTGGCTGGTTAAGTTCATCAGGAACAAGGTTAGCCAGTTTTCTTTTGCTTTTTTAATAAAAATGGCTAAAAATGCTTTTGCTTTTCGTGCTTGCTTTGCTTTTTTGTGCATGCTTTCAAAACATAGAGGAAGAAAAGAATTTTGAAATTAGATAAAGCTAAAGTTAAAGAATGCATAGTAGGATCTATGCCCGACATATTTTTTAATGGGCTAGATTCTGATGATGAAGAGTTTGAAGTTTTCTCTCGAAACTATGCAGATATCAGGGCTAGATCCCCAAGAGTTTCAACATTTAGACAAGGTAAAANAGGGCTAGATCCCCAAGAGTTTCAACATTTAGACAAGGTAAAAAAATAGCATGTAAATACAAAACAGCGCATGCAATAATTTTTGATGCTTTGCTTGGGGCTTTTTCTTTTGTCTTTTCTGTACAGTCATTGTACATGCGGGAACTGGTGCGGACGCTGACGCCGGAGGATCAGCAGGATCCGGAAGCCCAACCAGTGGTAGATCTGCTGGGGCTGGAAGAGACGGATAAACCCGTCGAAGAGAAGAAGGAGGAAGAGCCGGTCCTTGAGGACAACAACCCCTTCAAGGAAATGTTGAACGCATAAAAGTTTAAAAAAAACGCGTCAAAGAGAGTGCCATTTTTTGTACCCGCGTTTTTATATGGGTCAAGGCAATAGAGAAATTGTAAAAAGAATTTCTGGCCTGCAATTCTCTTTTTTGTTTGTCTTTTCCAGCCAAATTCTTTTTCAGAAAGTGATCAGTGAATGGACAAGATTCCTGTGGAGGCGTCTATTTCTAATCTAGGGTAAATTGCAGGCTTAGGAGTAGGAGATTGAATAAATCTCACAGATGCTTGAACATCATCAGTTCTCCTGGAAGGAGAGGATCTCCTAAGTTGTAAGACATAGCGTATCTTGGCATAACATAGATAAACAAGACACAGTAGGATAATGAGCAACAATGAGACTGGCACAATCATATAAATATAACCGTAGTCTCTAAAATGAATTTGTAGCTCACTGATGTCTGAGGAAATTTGATGGATCCCTGGCATGACAGCAGGTATTTCTTGCACCGCATTAATCTCAATATTTTCAAGTTTAGGCAAGACATCAGTAAAAGGACCATTCACAACTGTATAGCAACAATTAGGCTTAAATTGAAGAATTCCTGAGTAAGGTAATTCATAAGAATTTTCAGATGCAAATATGCTAGAATTCTTTGAACCAGAACAATACTGAGTGATCCTTCCCTTGTCATTATCCACAAATGCAAACTCATCACTATCCAGCTGCACAACAGTGTTGCTAGGAGTACTAATTTGCTTTAAAGGACACGGCCTTAATTGTAGATTCATTTTCTCCAGTTTGAATTGATGACACACAAGGATCTAGTTCTTGGGAAGGAGGTCTGTTAAATCTACAGATCCTACAATCAGCTTGTCCCAATTGATTTAAGCATATAGGTAAATCAAGAGAATTTAAACCATCAAGTTTGGAGCCTTGGGATAAAAGATATGAGTGCCTCAAAAAGGCTTGTTTCCATTTAGGAGCTCCCATGTAAGTATCTTCAGCAATAGGCAAGGCATGAATTTTAAAGAGCTCATATTTGTCAATGGACCTGATAATTGGTACCACAGTTGTGATCCTGTAAAAACATGAAGTGTTGATTGCCTTAAGATCTTGAGCACAAGGGTCAAAGTGACCAATGGTCAAAGGGTTTGACCTGATTAAAGCAAACAAGTCTTGAAGGGTCAGAACTGTAGTTGGAGGATTATTTTCAATCCTGATAATTTGTTCCAATTGGGTTTTAACCTCAGAGTTTGTCAAGAGGGTAATTGGATATTGAAATTGATGAATTCTGTCCATGT